CAAAACCACTGCAGGGGTGATAGGCATTAGGGTTGTTAGGGATAATTTCTACACCTTTCATTACTAATAAGGTTCTTATTAGTAATGAAATACGGTGTGAGGAGCTGAGATTCCTTCTGAGGTCTCTAGGTGTCAGTCGCCCTTCTGTATCTCCTTCCTGGACAGAAACCGACTGGCAGCGCGATTACATCTTCGGTAAGTTGCAGGCTAATCTCCGTGTAGCACACTGCTTTTATCTTAACCACGCCTCTTCATTCCCTAAGCACTTCGTAAGCAAAGAAAATATCGCGAGAACCCCACATTGTCTCTCTTCTGACGTTTTCAGCCATGATAGTCGCTTTTATTCTCGCGATAGTTCCGGGTACGCGGGAGTCCCGGCGACCCGGGCTTCTGTGAAACATGGCGGTAGGCTGGGACCGTAACGTAAGGTAAAATACTGAAACCCCGCTGGGTGCTGTTCCCTAGGTTGTTCCATGGCTGCTCAGGGCGTAAATGCAGCTGAGGGCACTGGGAGCCTGTCATGGGCTTGACTCCTTGTCTTCATTGGTGTCTGGAGAGCGGATCGGACGGAGAAGCCGCTCCACCTCCCCCGGGGGCGTTACTGGCAGGACCCTAGGAAACGATGCTACTGGGAGCTCCCCTTTGCCTGGTCCGGGTGCAACTCCAAGGAGTTCAGGAGCTTCCTCGGTAGCCCCTGATTCTGACCCTTTGCTTCTCACAGTGCCCGGTGCCCCGGTGGCTTTTCTAGTCGCAGGCGAGTAGGATCCCAGTCGATCGAGTCCCAGTCCTCTCGGGTGTCAGGCTCCCTACCCCAGTCAAACAAATACCACATTCTTCGCAGCACGTTGCCCTCTTTCTCTTTTTTTAAGAAAGAACGAGGTCTTGGCCTCGCCTGGAAGGAGTTTCGCACCGTGCTCCGGAAAATCAGAAAGAAGGGCAGGGCGAGACGCTAGGAGAGACAGGTCCGACTGTCACTACTTTTCTTCAGCGCAGGAAACCTTCCGAAGGCAACGTGTCAACTCCTGGTGGAGAATAGCCTTAGTCATCGGTAGTATATAGAGTTTACAGGTCGTTGTTTGAGAAAACACTTTTGAGTAACTTTTATATTTAGTATTTAGTGCCCCCGAGACTTAAAGTGACATAATAGCTGTTAAAATGTTGCCAGACTGGTTTTCAGAAGCAATGAAAGTTACGGTTAAAAACAGGATTTATTCATTTGAAGTTGTCATTCAGTATTTCAATTAATTGCCTAGCCTGATACATTGAACTTTAGTATACATCAATTATAAAGAGCAAGGCTGGCTTGTTCACCGAAGAAGAAAGAGATGCTTATTTACCTAATTTGTTTGTTGATATCTTTAAGTTGTTGTAATTATGCCAGTTCTACTGGAAAACATGAGGGGAAAAAATTCTGTTTATTTGGGGGTGGGGATTGGCAGTAGAGGATGGACAGGGAGAGGAGGATTTTTTTTTTTTTAATGATAGTGAACTTTAGTATCCAGTTGCATGTTATAATGGCTTCCTGGTACAAATCGTAAAAATATATCAGATTTGAAAGGTCTCTCAAAAGAAATCAGGCATAGTCTGGAACAACAACAGTTAGACCGAAAAAAAAAAAAAAAAAAACCACAGCCTGCAAATTTCTTTTCTTTGAGGGTTGATGTTGTAAGTGAAAGAAATGGCGATTTTTTTTTCTTTGTTAGAAGTTACTTTTAGGCAGTCAATGCCTGCTAAAAATACTGTTTAACAGTTTCCAAATATTTATTATAATTTTCCCTGTTAATGTTATGGTGGACAAATTATTTAACCTCTCTGTGCCTTAGTTTCCTCATTGGCAAAATGAAATAATAATAATACCTAACTCATAGGAAGGTTGTGAGGATTGAATGTGTTAAAACGTGCAAAGCATTTAGAACAATACCTGGCACACAGTAAACACTCAATGCCTGTTAGCTCTTGTTCTTTTTTGTTTTCCTTTTCTAACATCTATAGTTACAAATGTTGCGGTGTTAGTCAAAATGTAGACTGAAGAAGACACTGTTTAAAATAATATCTTTCTGACCCCAGATTGATTACATACTCTTGATTGGTATGGTTAATATGTCCTTAAACTCTGCATCATCCAGTTGCTTGTTTTCTTAAAGTATTATCCTCTTTTAATGACGAAAGCATAAATTCTTCCTTTCTACTGCTCCATATAGTCTGTGGAAGGGTTTTTTTGTGAGTGAATGCTATAGGATGAATTCCATAGGAGGGTAAATTCCAAAGGATGATAATGGATTAAGGAAGAAGAGAGGCATATTGAATGATCTGGGTGCTGATGTCATTGAGGAAATTATGAATATATCCAGACGTTAGTGGAATATGGCAACAAGTACGGAAGTGAGAGTCAGTGTGTACTGTGGTTTGGAGCATAGTTTCAAGTTCTACCACCTTCTATGTGGCCTGGGGAAATCGTTTGACAGTTCTGTGCCTCATTTCCTCATCTAAAAGTAGGATCTGCTTCACAGAGTCCTTTACAGGATTAAATGAATTAATATCTAAAGAGCTTCAAGTAATACATAGCACAAAACATGAGAGATGGTTGAGAAATGTGGTAAAACATGATACTTCTCTAACTTGGGAGTCTCAGAAATGAACTTAGGATTGGATTGGAACTGCCACCAATAGAAAGTCAGGTTTTATTAAGAGTACAGATAGGACAATTCCTTTTAGGAAAACTAGAAGTTATTGGATACCTTGTTTATGCCAGACAGTGGATTTGCCACCAATAGAAAGTCAAGTTTTGTAAAGATAACAGAGTAATTTCTTATAGAAAACTAAAAGTTACTGGATACCTTGTTTATGCCAAACAATGACTTATACAATAGGGTGGCAAGTATTCAAAATGGAATGCATTTCTTGGAGATAGGTTAGTGCCGAGCTTTCAGGAATGGGACTGGTGGAGTAGCTGAGTGGCAAGGTGCTCCGTTCTAGAGTGATATCTCATGAAAAATAGGGATGGAGGAAGCTAGAGATGGATAGGGAGCCACATTCCAGCCAGACTTTCAAGGGAGGAGTGTTGAATAGGTTGTATGTATTAGGAGATTTGTAAAACTAAGTGCTTGACATATCTTTATGCCTATATATGAATTAAAAGCATTTAGAAAGCTTATTATACAAATACAACATTATTGGAAGTTTTAGAAATACAATTCACTATTTTATTCATTTGTTTAACAGTGCTATACTCACTTTGTGATGGACATTGTTCTAGGTCCTGGGATAGTGGAAAAAGGAAAAATCCTTCTTGTGGATCTTACATTTTTACATATTTGCTTACTTAATCTGACATACTGTTGTGATTTGAAAGATGTGCTACTGTGGTGTTTCTGGAGAAATTTCCTTCCTTCCTTTTCTCAATGAATATTGAATACCTGTTTGCTAAGCACTGAAGATACAGAGATCAAGTTAGACATGGTTCCTGTTCTAACAGTCCACTGGAGAAAACAGAAAGTGAAAGAAGCAATTAGAAATAGTGTCATAAGGGTACAGTGTTCTAGACGCAGATAGACTTTGAGGGCCATGGAAAGTTTTTTCGTCTCCGCCTAAAGGTAGGGATGAATAGACTGGGCCTTGAAGAGTAAGTAGGAGTTAGTCAAATGAAGAGATGGGGTAGGGGGAAGAAAGAACATTTCAGGCGGAGATAATAGCATATTTTAGGTCTTCAAAGTGATTTATTATGGTTGGAACACAGACTGTGAGGGATTGGGTTTGAAGAGAGGTTAGCAGGACCTGATTTTTGAAGAGCTTTGTAAAACATGTTAGGATAGAGTCCAAGCTCTTAAGTGCAGTGGGAAGGGAAGTTATACAAAGATTCAAAGAGAAATATTATATGATCAGATCTATGTATTAAAAGGACAATTTGTTCTTTAGCATAGAGAGAGAATTGGAAGGTTGAAGACTAGAGGTTGTTGAAGCAATGTAGTGATAAATTGTGGCAGTTGGGACTAGCAATGTATTTGGACATAGGGAATTTCTCAGTGAGCCTGAAGAAGAGAGGACAGGCAGATTTAAGGGAAATTTAGAAATAGCTTAAGTCTAAGGATGTAACCCATGTTTCTGGCCTGTGTGGTTGGGCTTATGGTGTTATCATTAACTAAGATAGGAGATACAGGAGGAACAATTTTGACAGGGCGAAGTATTCATTTTTGGACTTGTTGAGTCTGAATTGTTTGGAATGTCCAAATGAAAATGTAACAGAAGGCAAAGAATTATATATATCTGCAGAGAGATTTGGGCTGAGAATCAAAATTTGGGAGAAATCAACATGAGACTGAAATTGAAGGAATGGGCAATCATTTGGGGAAAGTGTAGAGGTTGAGAGGGGACCTAGTGCAAAAATCTGAGAGGAAGATGAATCTGCAAAGTAATCCAAAGAGGGTGTTCCTGGTAGGATGAAAATCGGGAGTGTGATATCACTTTAGAGAATGTTTCAAGAAGAAAACGAAATAATAAACAGTGTACTTTCTCAGAGGTGCAGTTAGATAAGGACTGAGGAGTGTCTGTCCATTTAGTATTAAGGAAATTGACCTTGCTCAGAGCAAATTTAGTTGAGAGGTGAGAGTTGGGTGAGGAAGTAGTCACAGTAGATGAATGGGGAGAACTCATTCTTTTAAGTTGGCTGTAGGTATGCTGCCAGAGATGTATAGTTGGAGTTGGACTTGAGTTTAAGGGAGAGTTCTGTTTTAAGGAGAAGAGACATAAAGATATTTAATATTTTACTCAGAAAGAATGAGTAGAAATTGAAAGATTGAAGAAGGGTCAGTTTTTGTGCAGTTATCACTAAAAAGGTACAGAAAGTAAATTTGATTATCAGAGCTGAACAAGCTTAGCAGGCATGATGTATACCTAACAAACATTCAGAAGCTTAATTTATCAATGGGAATACCAGTTTTATAACTGATGGGGCTGTCAGAAACTGTCATCTGCTTTGTCTACATCATCTGTTTTTCCTTTAGAAAACTAAGTGCATGAGAAAAAAACCGTAATTCGAAGGCTGCTTTGTGAGCATGGAACCAGCAAGGGAAGGTTAGTTGCATGTTTATAATGGCAAAAGAAATCAACTTTTAATGCTTTCAACTCTACTTTAGAGTCGTAGCTCCCTGCTGGATTGATAAGAAGCTCTCCTGGTCAGAGCTTCTTTCTTTTAGACAGTATTCATGTTTACTGCCTATTTTTGATTCTCTGGCCCTTCTTTTTCTTTATGCATGTTCTTTCTCTTGTCTATTCTTTTATGTTAATCCTACCCATTAGATCTCAGATCCAAAATCTGTCTGCTTTCTTCTAGAGACATTATTTCCCTTATAGTGACTTCTGCAACTGTATGATTTATTCTGCTATTATGTGTTGATTTTATTAATAAAACTTTGATTACTAGGAATTCTTTATAGTATTATCTATAGGATTACTTATAAATCAGTTATAAAAGTTACATAAATGTCTAAAAATTCAGTTATTTGATTGGCTTTATAATTTTAGATGCAGATGACATACTGATGAAAAGGGACTAGCAAGCAGCTATTTTTTAAATAATGTTTGAATATAAAAATAGATAATTTGGGAAATCTAAAGTTATATGTAAAGGCAATTAAAATTCTCTCATGATCTACTTTTAACATTTTTGTATATAGATGTTCAGTTTTGTTTCTTGTATATCTTTTCCTGTCTCCCATAAAATTAGGACCCATGTGACCATCTGGTCTTTTCTTATTTAATCATGACTATTTTATTCTGTCATTAATTTTTTTTTTTTTTTAATAAAAGATTTTCAGGCCAGGTATGGTGGCTCATGCCTGTAATCTCGGCAGTTTTTTTGGGAGGCTGAGGTGGGTGGAAGGCTTCAGCCCAGGAGTTTGAGACCAGCCTGGGCAACATGGTGAAACAACTTCTCTAGAAAAAATACAAAAATTAGCTGGAGATGGAGGTGCCTGCCTATAGTCCCAGCTACTCGGGAGGCTGAGGTGAGGAGAATCACTTGAGCCAGGGAGGCAGAGGTTGTGGTGAGTTGAGATCATACCACTGTACTCCAGCCTGGGTGACAGAGCAAAACCCTGTCTCAAAAAAAAAAAAAAAAAAAGAAAAAAAAATTTTTTTATGGTCACATAAAGATGCATTTATTCACCATTATTTGTACATTGGATACCATGGGTCTGTTTCTGTCTTCAGTATTTAAAACTAACACTGTGAGAAATATTCTCATAATCAAATTTTGTTTCAAATGTCAGATTATTGTCATAGGATACGTTCCTAAATGGGCATTTACTTAGCCAACAGAGGAGAGGTAAATATTTATATGCCTATTATTATTATTATGAGTAGTATTTATTATTATTTTTTGAGATGGAGTCTCGCTCTGTCACCCAGGCTGGAGTGTAGTGGTGCGATCTCAGCTTACTGCAACCCATGCCTCCTGGGTTTAAGCCATTCTCCTGCCTCAGCCTCCCGCCCAGCCTATATTCTTGTTAGTAATGTATGAGCAGGCCATTTTACTTAACTGTCATTCCATATTAGAAATGTGTTATTTTTATATATTTTCAATTTAATAGAAAAATTATCTTAGTTTGTATATTTAGACATTATTAGTGTGATTGAATTACTTTTCACTTTTTTCTTGCTATTTAATGTGTTTTTGTATTTAAATTACCTTTTATTAGTAGCTTTTGTCAGGGCATGAATGGGGAAAGGATAAATATGTGGATAAATACTATTTATTTTCTTAAGGAGAGATGAGAATGCTAAATTGTTTCGAGGACATTTGTCAGTTATCCTAAATTTAAAGAAACGTTTTTATCTCTTTAAAGGATTCATTTATTCATTATTCTTTCCTTAGCATGACTATATGAAGGAAGAGGAAGCTTTTCCTGAAGATGAGGCGACTGAATCGGAAAAAAACTTTAAGTTTGGTAAAAGAGTTGGATGCCTTTCCGAAGGTTCCTGAGAGCTATGTAGAGACATCAGCTAGTGGAGGTACAGGTAAGTAGCAGTTCACATTAAAGTTAGTACAATTTCTAAGTGATCCAGTCAACAACATACAGAAATTTAGCCATGAGGAAGAATTTATCAATGAATTCTGCAGTAACTTTGTAAATTACCTGTCTTCATGTCACTCTTTTGGCTCTCATTTTATTCTCATTAATATTCTCTATAGCATCCAACTCAGTACTATCTGTGCCTTTGGCTGCGTTTATTAAAACATTAATAAATTGGCTGGGGTGGTGGCTCGTGCCTGTAATCCCAGCACTTTGGGAGGCTGAGACGGGCAGATTGCCTGAGGTCAGGAGTTTGAGACCAGTTGGGCTAACGTGATGAAACCCCATCTCTACTAAAAATACAAAAAAATTAGCTGGGTGTAGTGGCATGTGCCTGTAATCCCAGCTACTCAGGAGGCTAAGGCAGGGAAATTGCTTGAACCAGGGAGGTAGAAGTTGCAGTGAGCTGAGATTGCGCTACTGTACTCCAGACTGGGTGACAGTGAGACGCCATCTAAAAAAACAAAAACAAATGAAAAACAAAAAAATTAATAAATTAAACCAATGTTACTGCTTTCTGCCCCTTCCTAAATATATGACCTTGAGGAAGTTATTCAAATTTCTGTCTTAGTTTCTTCCATAAAATAGGGATGATACTCATATTTGCCTCCTAGGGGTTACTGTAGTATTAATATTTTCATAAAATGCTTAGAAATATGTAAGAAAAATATGTTACTATAACCATATTCAGTATAATTTCTTTCCCCATGAAGAACTAATAAAATAATGTATTTCACATGAGATTGGCATTTTATTTTGTATAATGGATAAGTTGCTCACTATTTCTAATTACTTGTGATTAAGTTTTGTTAATGAAAACAGTGCAAGTTCTTCTTGCAAAATCTATTTAAAGTATTTTGCCCTGGTATATAATAGTTTTCCTTTTTGTCAGATCTTTTACTCAGTTTTGTAAATGAGGTGATATATTTAGGAGATTGCAAAGTAGAAGAGAGTTTTGTTAGATACTTAGAGATGTTATTTGAGTTTCTGGCACACAGATTATTGTGGTTTCTCAGGATCTAAGAACTTAGGTTAGCTTTTTGGTTGTTTTAAATTGGGCTATAGACATGGATGTATTTTTAATAATGGAGCAACTGTTTCAAATGTTTGCTGTAAGGCATGCTTACTTTCATCTTTTATCCTGTCTGCAACACTGCTATATATAAGAAAATACAAATTTTGTCAAAACTATTTAGTGAGACATGCCCTTAAAATTGGAGAAATAAAATGCTTTCTTAGTAGTGCAAATGTTTACGTTTGTATTTGTATATATTAAACCTTTTGAGCTGTATTAGAAAAATATCTGTAATAAACATTTTGAATAAAAACTTTCTATAATGTTCATTCAAATGGAAATCACATTATTAGGCCTTTTCTTTTGAAAATTTAATCTCACTTAAAATAGTTTCCTGTTCTTTGCTTTTTTTAATTTTAATTCTGTTTTTCTTTTGTTGTTGGATTTCCCAGTTTCTCTAATAGCATTTACAACTATGGCTTTATTAACCATAATGGAATTCTCAGTATATCAAGATACGTGGATGAAGTATGAATATGAAGTAGACAAGGATTTTTCTAGGTAATCATTTTTTTTTTCTTGAAATGCCTTTAGATTCAAATTGTTTCAGAAAGAGCCTGTGTTTTAAAAAGAAAAAGTCTAACCTTCTAGATTTGGTTTGTTTTAGCTCTGAAGAAATAGTCCTGAAAAATTCTCATTGATTGCATGCATTAAGTGAAACCTTTTAGAATCATTTAAATAGTGGTTGAATTCTAAAACTGAGGGTCTTTGATTTAGCATGGCTTCATTTCAAAAGGTTAGGGAAATATTTCTCCTTAGATATGTATATTGTGGAAATTGTTTAATATTTGAAACTGGTTGAAATACCTAAGTGATCTGTGTGAGCTGGAAAATAAATTATCTAAAGATACATTGTATACCTTTTTGACTTCATATCTGTAAATTATACCTAAGCTAAATGTTTATGTAAATAAGATTACTTTTAAACTTCTGAAAATATAGTACCTTAATTATACACTTTACATGTATCCATTTGTATTATTTGGATTTCTTCAATGGACTAAAGATAATAGGTTTTATAATATTTAGATTGCACCAAATAGGAAGACACATTTAGTTTTCAGTTACAATCCAGGTTCTGCTATTTTCATGATTTTAAGGAAGTTACTAAATCTATACTTCAGTTTAGATAAATGCTTCAATTTCCTTTTCTGTAAATTATAGATGGCAATTATAATATCTTCCTCATGAGGCTTATGAGAATTAAATTAGTCAACATTCGTAAATTGCTGTGTAACCATGAGTAGGTCACACCACTGACTTCTTTTGGACTTCAGTTTCTTTATCTGTAATGTATTATTCAAGATAGCATTGGTTTTCAAAGAGTTTGTTATTGTTTTCAGCACCAATGCAATACTCATCCCAGATGAAGTCTTATGTATTACATAGTTCACTGCATAAGCATGGTGAGGATACGCAGAAGCTTGTCTACTTGGCCTACTCCTGGTTCCTGTCTCCTGAGCCTAAACCCTTGGGTTGTTTGGAGCACGGTTTGAACTTTAGATGACTTTAAGACTTGGCTGGGCATGATGGCTCACACCTGTAACCTCAGCACTTTGGGAGGCCAAGGTGGACAGATCTCCTGAGGTTGGGAGTTTTAAGACCAGCCTGACCAACATGGAGAAACCCCGTCTCCACTAACAATACAAAATTTGCCAGGCGTAGTGGCGCACTCCTGTAATTCCAGCTACTCCAAAGGCGGAGGCAGGAGAATTCCTTGAACCCAGGAAGCAGAGGTTGCAGTGAGCTGAGATCATGCCATTTCATTGCAGCCTTGGCAACAAGAGGGAAACTCTGTCTCAAAAAAAAAAAAAAAGAATTTTATGAGGTTCTTAAAATCTGTAATTCCTATTGAAATCAGATGAAAATTATTACACAGAAAAAAAGGTTTGATAGAAAGCACAGGATGGAATTTGATTGTAGCCAGTCTGTTATTCACAATGCTTAGTTCTGGTATTTGAAAATTGATTTGATCAATTATTTGAAAACAAAAGGCAATGAAAAACATTACGCATCAGATGATTTACTTCTGGTAGTTTGATTGCATTTATCTGAGTTACACAGACCTGGTTTCCAGTATGGCACTTTAATGGTGAAGTGGTCTTAAGCCAGGCATTTACCCTGAACACCAGTGGTTTACTTGAAAATCTGTGAAGACATCCACTTATAGCTCCGTGATACAGAATAAAGAAGATCATATTTGTAGAACATCTAGCATAATGTTTGATATATAGTATTTGATAAACAGAGAAGAAAGACAATTTCTAATTCTAGATTTTGAGAGTTTTACTTTCTTAAAGAAACATTCTATCAAAAGTTTATGTAAATAGAGGTTTAAAAGTTAAGACGTTTTTTCTGAGTTGCTTAGAGTTATTGATTATAGAGTTGCCATTAAAGGATACTGTGTTGAAAACCTGTGAAGTCAGAAAGGCTTTTGGAATAAAGGCAAATAGAACTTATACTTTAAAGTGCCTTTGTTTTGGCCACGAGAAATGCAATTCAGATTTTAATCAACATAATTTATTCTGCTTGAAATCCAAGTTTTTAATAGATCAATTTATTTATATTTCTCGTTTTGCTGATTAATTGGTAGATAGTAATGTTTAATATTTTTTCTTTCAGCAAATTGAGAATCAATATAGATATTACTGTTGCCATGAAGTGTCAGTGTAAGTACAGTTTCGGCTTGCTAAATCTCCTCGTAGGTTATGGTTCAAACAATTGCCAATCAAAAATAAAAACTGCTGGTTGTATTTTAACTTTACTTTTCCTTTATAATATTTTAAAATGTTACTGTGGTATTATTTAATAATACAAGGAGTACCTCAGCTTGTATTCTTTAAGTTTATTTTCCATAAAGAAAAGAGATTTAACTTTCGCATTAGTATAATTAAAAGAAAATTGGAGGAAATGTTTGTGAATCAGCATTCTAGTTTATATACAAACTTTCTGTCTTTCTTGTTTGTAGTACTAGCCTTTATACCATGTTTCACAAGCATATCCTTGTGTACTGTTCACTTTGCCACCCTTTATGTTTACTCTTGTGTTTAAAAATACAGATCTAGTTCTTTTAAGTTAATAATGATAGGTTACCCACTTTTTTTTTCCTTCACTGGCCTCACTTGGTTATACTAGAATCAGAAAAATGCTAATATGCCAGATAGTGAATGTTTGAATCAATGCTGTTTTCAAAAATAAGGATGCTTTTACATGAAAAATGTTTTATAAGTTACTGCTTAAAAATTATAGACCAAGAACTCAAGAAAATTTTTAACATTTTAAGAGTTTGAAATAATTTTACCCAGTTAAAGATTAGTTTCAATGATGCTCCATCTCAGAACGACCTTGAATCTCTTTTTCTTTTCAACATATTTTTTCTTATATTTGTGGTTTTAAGAGATTAAAAAAAATACTTTATATCTAAACTTGGAGTTAGTGGTAATTCTGAATATATGACATTCGGCCTTATTTTGGATTTTTGAATACTGTTTAATTTTAGACTTTTCCAAGTAAAATTTTTTGTATGTTGATTTGTAGCTTTGTTTTAAGATTTCTTTTAATCTCTAAAAATATTTCTTGCACTTAATATTTTGTTCATTGGCCACTTAATACTTGTGATTAGGTTCTTACTGATATTTGCAAAGCTCTTCAATTCAGTAAAGCTTATCCTTTTTAAATGAGATCTTGAATTATCTTTTTTACTTAGCAAGAAGTAGAAAAAAACATTGCATTTTGGAATAATCTCCACCAAAGCTATATAAAACTGCTGTTTTAGCTTTTGAACAATAAAGCAGTATAGGAAGTAGTTTCACATACTTGGTGAGTTTTTTTTTTTTTTTTCCTACTCGGTGAGTTTTCTGTTAGTTGTCTTAATTTGTTTATATTGGGGATGGTTTGCCTCCAACCATAGAATGTAAAACTTCTAAATCTTTTTTGTATGCAGATGTTGGAGCAGATGTATTGGATTTAGCCGAAACAATGGTTGCATCTGCAGATGGTCTAGTTTATGAACCAGTAAGTTTGATTCACATAGTTCTTTGAAATACATGGGTTGAGGAATTGCACCCTTGAAGACAGTTTTTATATCTATTTCTTTTTAGTTTTGTCTGAAATAGTTTTTAGTATAATTATCTTATTTCAAACGTAATCCATAGTCTTTGTAATAAATTCAGGGGGAAAAACAGAAAAGTTATGTTATATACCAAAGTCTTGAGGTGACCATTATTAACAATTTGGATGTAGTACTATTATCTGGTAATTTTGATCTAAGTGATTATTATTAGATACTTTAATATTTGCATTAGATTTTATACTGTTTTAAGAATAATTATTCTATCTTAACTTTGTTTTATTTCTTTTATTTTCTGCCATTCTTTATTTTTGTTTACCATCTTGAAGAGGGACTGCTTTTTCAACTTTTATTTTAGATTCATGTGGGACATGTGCAGGTTTGTTAGCTGGCTATATTGTATAATGCTGAGGTTTTGGGTTGATTGATCCCATCACCCAGGTACGGGGCATAATAACCAATAGTTTTTCATCCCTTTCCCTTCTCCCTCCCTCCCCTCTCTAATAGTCCCCACTTTCTGTTGTTGCCATCTTTATGACCATGAATACCCAACATTTAGTTCCCACTTATAAATAAGAACATATGGTATATGGTTTTCTGTCCTGCCATTCATTTGCTTAGGATTATTGCCTCCAGCTGCATTCATATTGCTGCAAAGGACAGCAGGTTGTTATTTTTTTATGGCTACATAGTATTCCCTGGTGAATGTATACCACATTTTCTTTATCCCATTTACCGTTGATGGGTGCCTAGGTTGATTCCATGTATTTGCTATTGTGAATAGTGCTGCAATGAACATCAGAATGCAGGTGTCTTTTTCGTATCATGATTTATTTTCCTTTGAGTATATACCCAGTAATGGGATTGCTGAGTTGAATAATACTCTAAGTTCTTTAAGAACTCTCCAAACTGCTTCCACAGTGGCTGAACTAATTTACCTTTTTACGAACAACATATAAGTGTTCCCTTTTCTCCTCAGCCTCTCCAGCATCTAGTTTTTTGCTTTTTGTTTTTGACTTGTTAGTAATAGCTGTTCTGACTGGCGTGAGGTGGCATCTCATTGTAGTTTTGATTTATATTTCTCTTATGATTAGTGATATGGAGCATCTCTTAATGTTTTTTGGCCACATGGATGTCTTCTGAGAAGTATGTGTTCATGCCCTTTGCCCACTTTTTAATGGGTTGTTTTTGGCTTGTTTGGTTAAATTTCTTATAGATTCCGTATATTAGACCTTTATCAGATGCATAGCTCGTGAATATTTTCTCCCATTCTGTAGGTTGTCTGTTTACTCTGTTGGTAGTTTTTGTGTTTGTTTTCTGTACAAAAGCTCTTTAGTTTAATTAGCTCCCACTTTTCAACTTTTGTTTCTGTTACAATTGCTTGTGGGGACATAGTCATAATTTTTTTCCCAAGGCTGATGCCCGCAATGGTGTTTCCCAGGTTTTCTTCTAGGATTCTCATAGTTTAAGGCCATTTAAATCTTTACCCATCTTGACTTAATTTTTGTATATGGTGAAAGATTTGCGCCAAGTTTCATTCTTCTGCATATGGCTAGCCAGCTCTCCCAGCACCATTTATTGAATAGATAATCCTTTCCCCAGTGCTTTCTTTTGCTGATTTTGTCAAATTCCAAGTGGGTGTAGGTATGCAGCTTTATTTCTGGATTCTCCATTCTGTTGAGGAGGGACTTTTTGAGATTTCTTTTACAGCAAAAATCTGTAGGTATGTTTTATGGATTCCAGCATGACTGTCTGTATCTTTCTGCTATTATCTTTTATTAACCATTTCCTCTGTTGCTCTGAACTGGGGAAAATCCCTTTCACGTGAGTTTATCTATCCTGTGAAAAATTTGCTTTAGGCTCTTTCTCAAATTGGTTTTGTTTGTATGTGGTCTTGTATAAATTCATAAAAGTTTCCAACATATGAATGTTAATTTAAAATGATTTAAGATGGTAATAAAGATTGCATTCCCATTTTTATGTTTCTTTTGGACACTGAGAATTTGGTATTTACCTATTATAGTCTTGAATGTATTCCCTAAGATTCATTTACACTGTTTCTCTAGCATTCTCTCCATATTCTAACTGTTGTGTTCATTCTCTTTTTTTCTCCACATTTATGAGATGCCTGATTTTATCTTTTATTTTTCTTCCCCCCTACATCTCTTATCTTTCTAGCTGGATTTTAAGCTCCTGAGAATACTTAGTTTTATTCTTTCACCTTTGTAGTTCTCAAAATGTATTGCAAAATGCTTTGCAGGTTTTAGGCAATAATGATATGTTAGAATTATACAGTTGGGACAATATTATTGACTGTTTTCATTGTAAACAGTTTTTGCGATCTCTTCCAGTCATTTATGGAGCAAGAACATTTAATTTAAATTGTTATAATTAAAAGTCATGTCTTAATGAGAAAGTTAAGAACTTCAAAATATTTAGTTGTATACTTTTCATCAGTAATAATAGTGCTTTTAGGAAGCTGTTCCTTCCTTTGTCCTAATTTATATAAAAGTGGTTAAGAATTATGTTTAATATAAAATTATTTAAAATATAATTTTAACTTAAAAACTTTTTGCTCATTATTTTAATATGCACTCTGAATATTAAAAACCTAGCCCTAATAACTGTACTAGTTTCCAAACCTCGATCTGTATATATGCTATGATAGTTACTATTTTGCTATTTTCTATTACATTTAGTTACTATTTATTATAAAAAAGAATTTTTAAAAGGTGGGAAAGTAATCTGATAGAGCTAAGTTTGTATATTGACTCTTACTATCTGTGATTCTGGAAAAAAGTTGTAACTTTTTGAGCTCCTGTTTCCTCATGTGCAAAAGAGGAAGAGTAGCCACAAATTCATGAGGTTGTTAGGAAGGTTAAATGAGATCATGAATTAGCATAGTGCCTTGCATAGTACCCTTGCACTAAGTAAACATGGTACAGAGCAGGTTGAGGAATTCAGAGGAAAAATCATATAGTCCCCACTATCAATCATTTTATTTATACATTAGCTGGAGAGTAACTGCACAACTTTATTGGTTTGCCATGGTGTGTTTTATAGATTTTAGCATTTTCTTTATGTACTATCTTGTGAAAAAGATTTAGTAGTGTGTTTTAGACAAATTCATCAGGAGGTGTAATCAAAGGAAGCATCAGAAAGATTGGGACAATTTGACTTGGAGCATATGGTGGTATAAAACTTAAACATGAGGCTCACAGTTACATGGGAGGTAGGTTCCAGACTGATATAATTAAAATACTAAAGTCACAGAAGCAGAGCTGTGAACTAGGACTAGAAAAGTGGGTCTTTTTTTTTTTTTTTTTTGAGACAGAGTTTCACTTTGTTGCCTAAGCTGAGGGCATTGGCAAGATAATGTCTCACTACCACCTCTGCCTCCCAGGTTCAAGCAATTCTCGTGCCTCAGCCTCCTGAGTAGCTGGGATTACAGGTGCCCACCACCATACCTGGCTTATTTTTAGTAGTTTAGTAGAGACAGGGTTTCACCATGTTGCCCAGGCTGGTCTCAAACTCCTCATCTCAGGCAATTCACCTGTCTTGGCATCCCAAAGTGCTAGAATTATAGGTGTGAGCCAACGCTATTGGCTGAAAAGTGGATATTTGTTGTTGTATAATTAAATTGTGGATATAACTACTATAAGAAGTTTGCCTTTTTTCTCTGACTCTTGGAAGCAAGAAGTCTGACTTTGAATTGATAAGGATCATGCCTAGATAAGATTTCTTAAGTACTTCCTTGTTGATTAACACATTTAGTAATTACAGTGCTATTTTTTAACTCATTTCAAAAATTGTTGATTCTGTTATGGTATTTTACCAGCAAGAATATGGGCTTTGGATGCTTGAATATAACTCTGTATGTCATTTTCTCCTCCAATACTTGTGAATTTCATGCTAGCATCATTTAAATGATTTTAAGTTCTAAGTTACCATTTTGTACATATGATAAATTGTCAACTTGCATATATTCCTATAAATGTTAACTTTAACAGGAGAATATTTGTGATTCATAAAATTTCTTTATGCTATTTTTGAGTAAAGCTTTCACATTAACATTTTAATTTGACTTATAGAAGATCAATATAAACCGTGAATACCTGTTTTTAACATGTTTGTTTCTTGCTCAAAGAAAAAATGTGTAAATTGTGATGTAAAAGCCAAGAGAATTTGACAATGCTAGTGATTATGTTTTCTTTCATTTCAGACAGTATTTGATCTTTCACCACAGCAGAAAGAGTGGCAGAGGTAATAAGAGAACCAAGTATAGTGGTCCATAGAGAGCTAAATCATATTTTGTCTATTGTAAACTATTTATAGATTAACACATTTCTCTAGGGATTTCTTTGGATGAATTATTAGCAGAATTTGGTACATAATCCTTACAATTTCAAAATCAGATCTTAAAGGCATGCATAATCTTTTCTCTAGTACTCTTTGATTCATAAGTTTTAATTTTTATTTACAATGGTATCAACTATTTAAATTTTTAGATCATGAAGGCAATATATGATCATTTAAAAAATTTAATTTGAATAGAAATGATATGAAGCAAGATTGTCCAACCTTCGGCCTTACAGGAAGGCTTTGAATATAGCTTAACATAAATTTGTAAACTCTTTTTTTTTCAAACAGAGTCTTGCTCTGTCACCCGGCCTGGAGTGCAGTAGCACAATTTTGGCTCACTGCAACCTCAGCCTCAGCCTCCTGAGTAGCTCGTGTGCACTGCAGGCACACACCACCATGCCTGGCCAATTTTTTTGTATTTTTAGTAGAAATAGGGTTTCACTATGTTTACCAGGCTGGTCTCAAACTCCTGAACTCAAGTGATCCACCTGCCTTGTCCTCCCAAAGTGGTGGTGGTGGTGGTGTTTTTAACTCATCAGTTGTAGTTAGTGTTAGTGTATTTTATGTGTGGCCCAAGATAATTCTTCTTACAGTGTGACCCAGGGGAGCCAAGAGATTGGGCACTCCTGATACAAAGTAAATGTTAAAGCCCCCTTCTCACTCTGTAAACTAATGCCACTGACTAGCAGTAATAACCAGTGATAAGTATTTTGGGTAGCCTTTTAGACAGACATTTTCTGTGTGTGTATGTATATATATTATATATATATATATATATAATGTGTATATTATATATATATATATATATATAATGTGTATATTATATATATATTTCTGTTTTTATATACAAAATGATATATAATTCTGATGTATAATCCATATAATATATAGTATATATAGAGTTCTTGTATGTTTTGAGTATATTATATATTTTATAATATATAAAGATGTATATATTTTATATATTTATATATTTTAATATGTTATATATAAAATATATAATTGTTTATATATAGAAATACACACACGCATATACACACACACACAGAAATAAATTGCTTTTTCCACCTAGCAGGTTTTGGACTCATTTCTGTATGTATAGAATGGTCCATTTTATGGATAGATTGTAGTTTATTTAATTGGATCCTTATTGATGGCCATTTAGATTGCTTTCAGAATTCTAATATTAAAAACAATACTCAGTGAACATTCTTGAACCTAATTCTGTGTATGTTTGTATGTGTGTGTATTTCTAGAAATAGAATTTCTTTCTTTGAGGATATTTAATGTTTTCATAGTGCCTATATCCTCCCAAATTTTTATTTCACTTATACTCCAAGAGGCTATATGAGAGTACTTGTTTCTGTACAACCTCAACAACAGCAGGTATACCCAGAATTTTTTTAAATGTATGTCAGTTTGATGGGTGAAAATTGGTACTGTGCTTTTATTAATTAACATTTGCTCATTTGTATTTTTTTGTGAACATGTTTGCCTATATGCCTATTTTGCTTGATTGGCTTTCTTTTAAGAATTCTTTGTAAATTAAAGAAAATAGTACTTTGTTATAAGTGTTGCCGTCTCCCACCCCCATATATTGCTTTTTGTTTTCTAGGTTATGTCTTGCACTTTACAAAGGCTTTATATAGTTCAAGATCATTCCAAAATAATTTTTCTTTACCCATTTTTTTTTCCTAGTTTCTAAGTATATTCCAAGGTTCTTTCTCTTTTAATTTTCAGTTTCACCACTTGAGGGAGTTTTTATGTGAAAGTTGAAATTGAATGTGGGTGAACAAAAGCACTGAATATTAGCTGTCCATGAGCTCTTGGAATTTTTGGTAGAAAGCTGTCCACAGATGAAATACTTTACTTTGATCCAGAAATATTAAAGTGAGATTTCTTATTTCATCTAGAATTATTTTCAATGCTCCAAACTAGTAATAATAAGTGGGAGAAGAGGTTGTGTTTTTCCTATTAAGATGATATAAATTTGCCATCATAGTAGAGTTTTCTACATACCTTCATGTGTGAATATAGGCTTGGGATATTTATTGGCACACTGAAGACAAAATTTTTTTCATAAACACACACATAATACATGCATTTATATATACATATGTATAGTTTGGTGGCATCAAACTCCTTGATCAGTGCCATGCATCAAAAATAGAACTCTGGAAATACAAGACACACAAAAAAAGGTGAAGATTTCCATTTCTGCTGGCATTGGATCCAAAGATTTTAAGTCTTTAAGTGTCTGAATCTGAAGATGGAATCTGGTTTCTTGGAGCATCCTGGATTATCATTTTCTGCTTCTAAACATTCTTGAATAGCTCTTGAATGGCTTGTAGATACCCAAGATATTTATCTTCCTAAATAATGTGCATGCCAAAATGTTCTTTACTTGTAGAATTTTCTAAGAGATTTAAATTTTCTTTCAATTGGTTTTCTATAATACTTAAAATATTGAAGATTCCAATTAATCTCTCTTTAACTGTAAATTTCAAACCCTGGACAGAGCCTTTGTATTTCCTACTTTTTATGTCTAGATTTAAGATTTATTTTATTCCAGCAAAAATAACGTGTATAAATATGACTTGTTATCTTAAATAGGCCTGTTGTACTAATTTTCGTAATAGATAGATGATGCATAAGTTTTTAATCTTCCACTTGCACATCTAGAAAGTGCTTATTTTTATCATTTTGGTGGAATGGTAAAATATTATGAGATTTACATTCGCTTACTTTTTGTAAGTACCTATGTTTATAAGTTTTTTCCAAGTTATATATAGGTATTTATTTTATTAGAGTAGTTAGGCACATATATTCCACCCCTACAGGTTCCCCCATTATCAACATCCTACATCAGATTAGATACAGTTGCTATAATCAGTGAACCTATGTTGACACAAAGTCCATAGTTTACGTTAGGGTTCACTCTTGATGACGAATGTATGTTCTGTGAGTTCTGACAAATGTATAAAGATATGTATCTATAATGGTGCCATACAGAATGGTTTCACCGCTCTAAAAATTATCTGTGCTCTATTTATTCTTCCCTCCTCACGGTATATAATTTTTGTACTTACCAAGTTTGAACTTTACTACAGATGACGTCGAATATTAGTTATTTAAGGAAATAGAATTAAAAGAGATAAAATAGGACTACATCTTATGACACAAAATTATTGCTGAAAATTGTAGGAGATACCATGGCTCAATGGTAGAAATATTGGAGAGAGAAAAATTCTTGTAATGAAAATTAGATACTTGTAGTATGAGTTTATACTGAGTAATGTGCCACTTCACATCCATCAAGTCTGTTGTATAGACCCTTATTTGTCTTACTCTTTGCATCTACAATATTTCATTCAACATTTGACAAAAATAAGAATTTTGTAATTGTGCATGTATGCATGAAAGATGAATTTAGATATTTAAGTGAGTAGAAGCCCTACTTTTGTGGTCCTGACTGCACATCCTTTACTGATGGGATCAAATAGGCTTATGGAGCTCAGCTATTAGACCTCTAGCCTTCCTGCTTCACTTGCTTTCAAGGAAATGACCAAAGAAAACTTGGCATGTTATTTTAGATTATGAAATCCTGTTATAATAAATGTATGGTTTAGTTAAGTCAGCTAAACCTCATCATTTTTTAATAAGAGTCAGCTCTCTTTATGTGCCTTACTGTAGTTCTAAACTATTGTTTGTGTCTTATTTAGGATGCTGCAGCTGATTCAGAGTAGGCTACAAGAAGAGCATTCACTTCAAGATGTGATATTTAAAAGTGCTTTTAAAAGTGCATCAACAGCTCTTCCACCAAGGTGAAATCTATGCTTTAAATGTACAGCTATTTATTATAAATTTGTTTTGACATAATTAGAACTAAAGTGTTGGTTTAGTTTTCTGAATCATTTTTCTTAGGAAGTGAAAATAGAATCATTCTGTATTCTAAAGATGCCTTTTACTCTCAAATTTATAGCCTGTGATTTTGATCAATATCATCACACATGTATCATTTCATTTGCATTTAATTTTCTTTTTTACATGTAGTATACCTCCATATAAAATTATATTAAGTTTTAAGAAAAGTTAGTTTTACTATTATGAGGATATATAAACTTTGGTTAGAAAGTTTTAGTTCACTTTTTTTTCAAGGCTATAATTTTTTTTTTAATTTTTTTATTTTAAAGATTATAGGCCAGGCATGGTGGCTCATGCTTGTAATCCCAGTACTGTGGGAGGCCGAGGTGGGTAAATCATTTGAGGTCAGGAGTTTGAGACCAGCATGACCAACATGGTGAAAACCCCGTCTCTCCTAAAAATACAAAAAAATTAGCCAGGCGTGGTGATGCATGCCTGTACTCCCAGCTACTCGGGAGGCTGAGACAGAAGAAATTGCTTGAACCAGGAGGCAGAGATTGCAGTGAGCCAAGTTTGCACCATTACATTCCAGCCTGGGCTAGAGTGAGACTCTATCGCAAAAAAAAAAAAAAAAAAAACTGCTGGATATTCGGAAATGCTATAATCATAAACATAACAATTTAAATTTAAAAATACATGAGAGTTTTTATTTGCTTAGGAAGAAAATGTCGTTGTCTCTTTGAACTTAGGTGGCATGCCTTTCCTTTACTTAGTCATATTTCTACCCTTCCTCCCTCTCCCCACTACCGTGGCAGAAATAAATGAAGAAAGCATGCCTTTTTGGACTAATTTTTTTTGTTTTAGTCTTTCTTCTGTTGCTGGACTAAGTCTTCTGGTTACAGTTGAAGAACCATGAACTTTTAAATTTATGTAAATTTAATAGATATTAAATAAGTATTTTTCCCCATTTTATACATGTGTAATTTTTATAGATGTCTAGACTTCAGGAAACTGCTATTCTATTTTTGACATTTAGGATATTACCTAAAAAATGATCATTAGGGATTTTCTGTACACAGTTTTCTCATCATAAAATGGTAACTATATTGAATATGCTTTAAATAATATTTCTTGTTTTAACAGGGAAGATGATTCATCACAGTCTCCAGATGCATGCAGAATTCATGGTCATCTATATGTCAATAAAGTAGCAGGGAATTTTCACATAACAGTGGGCAAGTATGTTGTTTTCACTTACTGAAAATATAATATTAAACAAGACAGAATAGAAGCTTCCCTTAGTTTTCTGGGAGATTTAGTATATATTAAAACTATAACAGGTGCTTTGTACAGCTAAGTGGAGTTAAGTTCTAGACTCAGATTATTCTAATGGGCTTTTCATGTACACAAATATCTCTTAGAGCATTTGAAAGTCACACAAAACTTGGGATGATCTTTTTTGTGTGAGACGACCAATGTCATTGCAGGATGCCTTGTTTCTGTGGCTGTTGTCCAGTAAATACCAATAGCCACCCCTCCCCAATAATTCTGACAACTCAAAATGCCTCTCTTTACCCACCAGAACAACTTTTCATCCACTGAAAATCACTTAGGCTAGCTTCCTTTCTGACAGAGTAGAAAATATCCCAGGAAAGAAATAGGTAAATTCTGAATATCCATCTTCCCTATGAAGAGTCTGTACTAGGGTGATTTAATTTGATTTTTAACTTTTAATTTTTTGAATAAGATGCTCACTTATGCTATTATTTCATAAAATGAATACACCTGTTAAGAAAATAAAGAAGGAGGTTTTATTTAAAGCAGTTTCTCTATTCCTCTCAGAGTAATATCCCGGGTGGTGAGAGAGATCATCCAAGTAAAATATATAGGTTGAGCATCCCTTATCTGAAAATCTGATGTTTGAAATGCTCCAAATTTGGAACATGCAAAATACTCCAAATTTGAGCATTGTCAACATGGTGCCCAAAGGAAATGCTTAAGATTGTTTCAGATTTCAGATTTTCAGATTAGGGAGGCCTATCTGGCAAATAAAATGTATGTATTCCAAAATCTAAACCTTGAAACTTCTGATCCCAAGCATTTTCGATAAGGGATATTCAGCGTGTAGTATTGTAATTTGTTTATTCAGAAAAATGTCCCTGAATTTGTTTGAAAATAATAGTAGGAACACTGTCAGACTGACAATATGAGTGGAGCTAGGAATAATTTATGACAGTAGACTTTCTTTTAGTAGTAAGCTGGAGGTAATATACTTCACTGTGAACACAGAAAAATTTACCAGACCACACTGCCAATTATTCCAGTGCATAAAGAAATGCTTTATTGAGCAAAGTTTTAGTATACTTTGTGTTAAATATTAGTTAATACGTTTTCCTAATGATTGTATTGCCCTTTTTTTTTAAGTGCCTGGTGTTTTGCTAGGTACCATATTGAACAAATTAAACAATGTTTAAACCTACCAGGGCATATTCTGAAACTTGACAATGGTGACAGTTAATTGGTTATAAATAAAGAAGGATCTTTTATTGAGAGTTTTGGTTTTCAATTTTTTAGTTAATTGCTAGAATTGGTAACTAGGTAAAGCAGGATTGTGGTAAAGGAGATCTTCAAAGTGATTTTTTTCATTATTTTAACCAGAAACAGGGAAGGATAATACTTACTTGTAGAGGTATAAAGATGTTAAAAGAACAGGTTAAATTTGAAATATAACAGTGTATAACTGAACAAAGATTTATTGCAGGGATAAACTATAGCTTATATACCAAATTCAGCCTACTACCTGTTTTTGTACGGTTCATGAGCTAAGAAGGGTTTTTATTTTATTTATTTATTTTTGTGACAGAGTCTCGCTCTGTTGCCTAGTCTGGAGTGCAGTGGTGTGATCTGGGCTCACTGCAACCTCTGCCTTCTGGGTTTAAACGATTTTCCAGCCTCAGCCTCCCAAGTAGCTGGGATTACAGGCAGCCCACCACCACGCTTGGCTAACTTTTGTCTTTTTAGTAGAGATGGGGTGTCACCATGTTGTCCAGGCTGGTCTCGAACTCCTGATCTCAAGTGATCCACCTGTCTCAGCCTCTCAAAGTGTTGGGATTACAGGCGGGAGCCACCTTGCCGAGCCACGGTTTTTACATGTTTAAATGTTTGAAAATAAATCAGAAGGGGAATAATATAATACATGAGAAATATATGACATTTAAGTTTATGTCCAAAAATAGTTTTATTGGCATATAGCCATGCTCATTTGTTTATATATGGCTGCTTTTGTATTACAATACCACAGTTGAGTAATTCTGGTAGAAACTATATTACTCTTTCATTACTGTGTACTTAGGTGTACTATGAATTACAGCGTTGCGGTTATTAGTTGACAGCATTAAAAGTGCCATGTGTATTCTTGTATTGCAACATTTTATTTATTTATTGTGTTGCTATGTTAAAGAAAATAGGGACTCCAAATTTTGCATTTAAAGAACAGTGGAGTATGGATTATTTGATCAAATTTGGCTGCAGAAGATCCTGCTTATTAAGCAATGACACTACTTACTTGTGCTAAAAAGAATACAGTATATGTTGATAGTACCAGATTGAGCATTCATCACAATATTACCAACCTATAAAAAAGCAGTGATCAGAAAAATTAGAAAATTTAAATTGGAATATCCAGAAACTGTAGAATTTTATCATAAAAAGTGAAAATGAAGCTGTAGTCTTTAAGTACCTCATTATTTACCAACATCCATGTATTGATAAATCTAAGAAACAATGTTTGACTGCAAAAGCTAAAGAAATGAATCCAGAGAAAACAAATTTGCTTTAGACAATTAGATGATTAGCCTTCTTCAAGAAAAGTATTCCAGTAGATGAGGACATTGAGAGCAGTAACTAATAGTCAGTTAAAAAACAAGCCAGGAGGCTGGGTGCAGTGGGTCACATCTGTAATCCCAGCACTTCAGGAGACAGAGATGGGTGGATCATGACCGTTCTGGCCAACATGGTAAAATCCTGTCTACTAAAAATACAAAAATTAGCTGGGCGTGGTGGCGCGAGCCTATTGTCCCAGCTACTTGGAGGCTGAGACAGGAGAATCACTTGAACTCCGAAGGCACAGGTTGCAGTGAGCCCAGATCACACCACTGCGCAGCAGCCTGGCAACAGAGCGAGACTCGGTCTCAAAAAATAATAAATAAATAAAACTAAAAAAAAAAGCCAGGAGATTTTGAGTGATTTCTAAGCTCTTGGTGAGTGGACAGATGTTACTAGACGCTTATTGTTTATTTGAGGAATTAATGCTGAATTTGAAATGATTGAAGAATTAGTATCTACAAATAGCCTGCTTGCAGCAAAAACTATAGGCAAGAATATTTTTTATAGAAGTTGACAGAACACAATTTCAGTGCAACCAAGTGGAATCTAGTAAGGTGTGTTACAAATGTGTTATAACTGATGGTGATGTGTGGAGCAGAAAATAGCCTACTTGGATGCATTTCAAATCTTGTGAAAATGTACTGTATTTAATGCCTACTGTTATTCATTGTATCATCAGGAGTACTTTGCAGAAAATATTTGAATTTATTATGCATTTTAGACTGGTGTGCCAATGGTAAACTTCATTTACCCTTATGGACCAAATACTGTCTTTTTCATGGTTTTTTGTCAGAAATAAAAGACTGAATATTCCATCCTGCCCTACTACACAGCAGTTTGATGGCCTAGCAGGAAATTTTTTGAGCTCAGGACCAAGATTGGAATTTTTCTGAATGAGAAAATTTACATCAGCTACAATTATTGAGCAGAGAATATCTTTGGAAATTTAAGTTTTATGCAGACTTAACAATGTTTAATTCATTAAAAACAATGTTTAATGAATTTAGCCTAAAACCACTGCTTATCTATGAAATTTATATTGTAAAGTTATTTCAATAACTAGTGATTTTGAGTGGTTTCTTTTACTTTTCATGGTTTGATAGCCTTTGCTGTCAGAAGTTAAAGCAAGGATCTTGACTCTATTCTCATACTTGGATATATTTTCTGACCTCAAACTGTGTAGTTCCAGAACTTCAGACATTGATGCAAATAAAAAGGAAATTTCCATGTTTCAAATTCATTTAACTGTACAATTGAGGAAATTTTGCTTTAACTTAGATTGGAAGTTATTAATCTGCAATATAATGACATGTTTAAAGGTAAATAAATATTAAGAGAAGAATCTACTAGAATTCTTTAAATGTCTTACAAGCAATGAATATGCTCAACTCGTACTTGTGAATTCATATTTTCAAAGATGAAATACTTAAAATTTCATTGTAGATCATCATTATCAGATAAAGATTTATGGTCCGTTTTGAAAATAGGGAACGCTAATTCTAAATCCCAGTTTAACAAAATGTAATCTCCCTGCAAAACAGTTCTATTACAAAAAAAAGCACTCAGTTGTTACTATTATATCAATGAAAAGTTTGTGAAAATTGCTTATTCTCATTATGTAACTACATAATACACTGATTTTGCATCTTGGCCCACAAACCCTAAAGTATTTACTATCCAGGTCTTTACCAAAAATGTTTGCCAACCCCCAAGTAGTTTAGTACATTGCTGAGATGAGTAGACTTGTCTGTTCAATCATAGGCTAAATGCATTCTTATGTTATTTTGTACTAAGAAAAATTATATAGCTTAGGGAAGATCCACTTTCTGATTTTAATTAATTATATGCATAAATGGTATTACTTTAATATTTTTTTCTCCTTTCAGGGCAATTCCACATCCTCGTGGTCATGCACATTTGGCAGCACTGGTCAACCATGACTGTAAGTAGTTTCTGACTTTTTTTCAATAAAGATGTACTTAAAAAAAATACTTTGTCTAATACTTCTTTTAAAAGTGCAGATGCAGTGTAGTTGAAAATGAGCTGTTCTGAAGACAGATATTCATCTAAAGGAAAAAATAAATTTTTTAATTGATTTAATCTGCATTTGTATTTGGTCATGGCTCAGGGTTGTTGAGGTTAGGGAGGAAAGCCTAGTGTACTTTATATAACTTTGTACACATTTCTGCTAATTTTTGGGGATAATGAAAAGAATATATTCGCAGTTTATTTCCATTTGCATATTGAAATATGGATGTATAGACATGTATAAAGTATCCAGGTTAGTTTGGTATCATGATTGTCATAAGACTTACATTTTTAAAGTCTGCTTTAGAGGACAAAACAAGTATTGGATTCCACAAAAAATTAGTTTGATCACATTTAACAATAGTATGTATTAAAGATATATAAGATCAGTTTTATTTGGCTGCATGGCATCATTCCAATTCTGCCAATACAGTCCAGTTACTATATGATGATTTGGAAAAAGAGAGATATATATTTTTGGCTTTTATTATTATAGTAATATTTTCTAGAAGTTAATTTGTATATAATTATAAAATTTAGGATACCGCATTTTGTCAGAATTTATACTTTTTTTTTTTTTTTTTTGAGACGGAGTTTCGCTCTTGTTACACAGGCTGGAGTGCAATGGCGCGATCTCGGCTCACTGCAACCTATGCCTCCTGGGTTCAGGCAGTTCTCCTGCCTCAGCCTCACAAGTAGCTGGGATTACAGGCATGCACCACCATGCCCAGCTAATTTTTTGTATTTTTAGTAGAGACGGGGTTTCACCATGTTGACCAGGATGGTCTTGATCTCTTGACCTCGTGATCCACCCACCTCAGCCTCCCAAAGTGCTGGGATTATAAGCGTGAGCCACCACTCCCTGCCCAGAATTTATACATTTAATTCGTGTATATTTAAATTTACTTTTCTCAAAGGGATATGGCTTAAAATATTGTATATTTTAAACATTTTCATTTGAGAATAGATAAGGATGTAAACCAGCCTGTAGCATGTACTTTTGAATAATGTAATTACTCTGCTAAGTTGTTTTTATTTTTTGCCTTTTAGCTTACAACTTTTCTCATAGAATAGATCATTTGTCTTTTGGAGAGCTTGTTCCAGCAATTATTAATCCTTTAGATGGAACTGAAAAAATTGCTATAGATCGTAAGTAATAATTACTGTTGGATTTTACGTGGAGAAAATCGTGCTTAATATATATTTTCAGTGTCTTTCTACCTGCTGTTTAAAGATAATCCTTAAGTGTTTGGTGAGTGAGATATATGTGGAGAGAATTTGTCCTAGTAGTGGATGAAATTTGAATGTTCAAAAATGAGCCATAGCACAGAATAAAGAAATTGAAATTAAAAGTTGAAGGTGTTAAAAGGCAGAAGTAGTGGAATTTAAACAGTAGAAATAGCTGAAACGTTAATACATTCATAGGGCATACTGCATTTTTTATATTCACCAAAGAATAATGAAAGAAAGGTTCAACATTATGAGAAGAATAATTTTCTTTGTGTAGGTTCAGTTTTAAAATCATATTTATTATTTTAGAAACCTCTCTGGAGAATTTTACAAATATCAGAAACCTAGAGTTATTCTGGAATGATTTGGTTATTAACATAGGAGTACATTATAGCACAGATAACCTTTTTTAAATGTTCTTTTTAACTTTCTGCTCCATCATTTAAAGTATCAAGTCTATCCAAATATGGAAAGATTTTCTTAGTTTTTTAGCAAATTGTCTATTTTCATGTTGTCTGTGGGTTTTTGATTGCTTCTCTCTAAAATAGTCATATACCATGTTCCAGCTGTTGGACATTTTAAGGACTTCTGAAGCTTATTCAGCTAGTAGGAATTCTATCCTTTGTAAAATTGTAATTAAGGATTTAGTTTTTTATTAGTTTAAGTAGCTTTATTAATATTCTATTTAGATTTATTCATATTCATTACCTTTTAGCAGTGATATAATCAGATATATTAAAGACGTTTAGAATTTAGAATACTGATTTACATTCATGAATATTTTGTGTTCATAGGGAGTGTTTCACTTCAGGAAACCTGAGTGTACTAAATTTAGAAATGTGTGGATAGAAACACTTTGAGATTTATAAGCTTTAGTCAGTATGATCTAGTCTGTAATCTAAGCATACATTCATTCTCCACTGAAATTCATTACATGTTGCCTGAAAGATGCTCATTTGGAAACATACTGGTCAAATGCTTTGTTTCAAGATGCTAAAATGAACTACATATTCTTGTACAGAAGCTCTTCTAAATATAAACAAGTTAATTTCCAAAAAGCTGTTTTTAAGTATACTTCTTTCTAAATTCAGAGAAACTAAGGGGTATTTAGAGTCATATTCTGAAATGCTGTTAAGTGAGTATCACCAGGTGATACAAAGCTTTAAAGCAGGTTGTATGCTTTTCTACTTCATACTATGTTTTATTGGGCTTCTTTTTCCAAATAGAAAAAAATCAACATTATATATCTGCTGTGTCAGGTAACTAGCCCTTTCCTGATGCTCTCCAGAAGTATTACAGAGGTTACTTAGCAATGAACATCTTTAATGCAGTGCAAATTTGGATAAACAAGATAGACTATCCCTGCCCCTCATAGAGCACACATTCCTATAGGGAATTAGATCTTTAGATAATAAGTGTTAGGGCAAATGGCTATGAAGAAAATAAAGGAGATTGCCTGTGATATGAGAAAGGGCATGGAAGAGGCTGTGGTATTTGAAAAAAAAAAACTCTAGTCAAGTAAATAAATGAGCCAAGCAATGATCTCTTTTGAGAGCATTGCAGGCAGCTTTATTATTAAGCTTATGAAAACAAAATAACCTATATGTGCTTCCACAAACTGGATAACCTAACTGCATACTTCTCCTACCCTGCCAGCTTCTCAAATGGCAGGGATAGCTCACTTTCCTAAAGGTAGAGAGGTGGATATATATGTCTTGAAGACAGAACTGTTTAAGAGAGAGAATGCCTATACTATCTAGTTGAGTGGCTTAGCCACACATGATTACTTTTTGCAGATGAATCATTCCTTCCATGAGTGAGAGAGAAGTGGAGAGGAAGGTCAAATTTTCTACTCTTTTTTGTTTGTTTGTTTGTTTGAGACGGAGTCTCACTTTGCCACCCAGGCTGGAGTGCAGTGGCTCGATCTCGGCTCACTGCAACCTTTGCCTCCTGAGTTCAAGCGATTCTCCTGCCTCAGCCTCCCAAGTAGCTGGGATTACAGGCACGTGCCACCACACCTGGCTAATCTTTTTTTTTCAATAGAGATGGGGTTTCACTGTGTTAGCCAGGATGGTCTCAATCTCCTGAACTTGTGATCCACCTGCCTTGGCCTCCCAAAGTGCTGGGATTACAGGCATGAGCCACTGCACCCGGCAGCTTTTATTCTTTTATGTACAAAGGGATGCAAGCTTCTATTTAAATCTGGGAGAATTTTTTCTGCTTAAATTTAATACCATGTTCACCTTGAGTAAAATTGCCTGGGTTCAAGTTCTCACTCTGCCACTTAATAACCTGGACTTTGGGCTGTTTCTTAACATTCCTCTACTTGAGATGCTTCATCTCTAACAGAAAGAAAATAAAAAGATTTACTTGCTTATCTAGTTGAACCTATGGATAGGTGTATCTAATAATTTTTCTAGAATGAAACTTAGAGAATTAACATGTTTTATGTGAATGGGTAATTGTTTACAATTAATTAGTAATTGATAATATACTGGTATTTAAAACTTGTGTCAAAGCTACAGATGTCTAGTGACCATATAAAAATGATCCTTTTGGCCAGGCACGGGCCTGTAATCTCAGTACTTTAAGGGGCCTAGGTGGACGGATCACCAGAGTTCAAGAGTTCGAGACCAGCCTGACTAACATGGAGAAACCCTGTCTCTAGTAAAAATACAAAATTAGCCAGGCATGGTGCACATGCCTGTAATCCCAGTTACTTGGGAGGTGAGGCAGGAGAATTGCTTGAAACCAGGAGACAGGTTGTTGTGACCCGAGATGGTGCCATTGCACTCTGGACTGAGCAACAAGAGTGAAACTCCGTCTCAAAAAAAAAAAAAAAAAAAGATCCTTTTGATTACACAGTAACTGCAGGCCATCATTGAGTAGTTTCTTTAGATACCTTCCTGCTGTGATATTGGTTTCTTTTATTTATTCAAAGGCTAGCTGATTTGATTTTGGTTTATTGTATATCTTAAGATACTAGCAGAAACTGAAAATGTGTCTTGTGGTAGTTATTCTCTTATAATTTTATGTTTAGTTTCTGTACTATAAAGAAATGCTGGCCGGGCTCAGTGGCTCACACTCATAATCCCAGCACTTTGGGAGGCCAAGGCAGGAGGATCTCTTGAGCCCAGGAGTTTGAGACCAGCCTGGGCAACATGGCAAAACCCTGTCTCTACTAAAAATGAAAAAAATTAGTTGGACTTGGTGTTGTGCAGCATAGTTGCTATGCAGGAGGCTGAGGTAGGAGGATTGCTGGAGCCCAGGAAATCGAGGCTGCAGTGAGCTGTGATTGAGCCACTGCACTCCAGCCATGACAGAGTGAGACCCTATCTCAAAAAAAAAAAAAGAAATGCTGCTTTTTCATGTTTGATAAATGGATGATAATGATTATAAGGAATATTTACATCACTAGTTCATCTTTTTAAATATCTGTATTGCCCATCTTATGCTGAGAACTTGTTTTGCCAAGTGTAAATATATTGCTTACATTGGTTCTTTTAAAATGTTTGATTTTTTTGTTAGATATTAAGTTGTACCTAACATTAAATTTGAAGTTAAATGTTTTTATTTTTATTTTTTGAGACAGGTTCTTGCTCTGTTGCCCAGGCTGGAGTGTAGTAGCACAATCATGGCTCACTGTAGCCTTGATTTCCTGGGCTCATGTGATCCTCCTACCTCAGCCTCCTGAGTAGCTGGGACCCACAGGCGTGTATCACTATGCCCAGCTAATTTAAAAAAAATTTTTTTTTTTGTAGTAATAGGGTCTGCCTCTCTTGACCAGACTGGTCTCAAACTCCTGAACTCAAGCAATCCCTCCCTCCTCAGCCCTCCACAGTGCTGAGATTACAGGTGTGAGCGCCACATCCAGCTAAATTTCAGGTTAAATGTATTTAATAGAAAAATATATTTGGCAGTAGTTTTGTTGCTACTGAATTGATAAAAAGTTTTGTTTTTATTCTAGACAACCAGATGTTCCAATATTTTATTACAGTTGTGCCAACAAAACTACATACATATAAAATATCAGCAGACACCCATCAGTTTTCTGTGACAGAGAGGGTAAGTTGAGTCTGCCTGCTAAAATGATTTGGTGATTTTTTTAAAAAAAAGCATTTTAAAGTCTCCTGCCTACAGAATAAGGTGGCATTTTACTTGGTGTCTTCCCCCATTTAAAAATTTGTGGAAGTTTTGAAATGAATTCACATGTTGTTTTACATTACTAATATGTCAGAAATTAGTTTTAGTATATTTGAGAGCAATAAAAGTAGATGTTAAAAAATCTGAAGTGTTCTCTGTTGCATTAAGACTTAAAATTGTTAAACTGTGATGACATTATTTTATTCTTAATGTCTTAATTTTGTAATATGTTTTCTCATAAATTGATATAAGCAGTTCCTAATCTGGCAGCAGATTCTTTGAATTCTGTGTTATTAATAAATGTACTGCTCTCTCTGGGAATACATGGTTATTATGGATTAGATAGTAAATTTAGCGGGTTTGCTTTCCTAAATTAATGCTTTGTATTCATCTGACTGATATGAAGGATATTCCACTACCTCAGGGTGGTGTGATCTTGTAAATACATACTGACAACGATGAGCAAAGTGTTGCAACTGGACAGTTTCATAGAATTCTCATCTCTTTGGGGTCATGTTTTCTTATTTTATTGTTTGAATATTCAAATACTTCCATTCAGAAGAGTTCTAAGGTGAAATTTAAGTGCTTTAAAAAATGTTGCTTTCCTTTATATGGTGTTTTCTTTTACTAGCCTTATAACTCATGATGACCATGCCCTCAATAATTGTGGAATTTTTTTGTTCTTAGATTAGGTATTGAAGTTTTTAGGGGTGAAGTGTCATGTGTCTATAGCTTTTCACTTGGTTTGGGGGATAATACAAGCCCATATAACTGCATATATATGTATAGTTATGTGCGTATATAGTATATACACTCACACAAAGAAACTAGGTAAAGTTTATATATGAACATACTGTGCCTTTCAACATTTCTTTAAGAAGTGGAGTGATTCCATTTCTCACCTGTAAGATTGGCAAACACCTGAAAGTCAGTACATAGAGTTGACAAGGCTTTGGGGAAAACAGGCAAATATGCAGTGCTATGGGAATGCAAAATGGCATAATCTTTGTGGAAGATAGTTTGGCAGTATCTGCAAAAGGACATATGCATTTACCCTTTGAGTCAGCAACCTCACTTTTAGAAATCTATTCTAGAGATACAGTGGCCAAAAATGTGTGTTTCAGGCTATTCATTGCATTGTTATCTGTAACAGTAGAAGATAAAAAGCAATCCAGATGCCTCATTACACAATGGATGAAGAGGCAATTGTTAAAAATCAAATGAGGATGATCTCTATGTACTAACATGAAATTATGTCTAGGATATATTTTTAAAATAGCAAAAGCAAATATATATATATATATATATATATATATATATATATATAAAACAGAATATATATTCTATTATATATATATAAAACAGAATATATATTCTATTCTATATATATATATAAAATAGAAGCCCAGGGCTTTGACTGTCAAAGGATGTGTTTATACTGATAGGGTAACTAAAATAGTTTGTTAACTTGAAAAAGAGTGGAGTAACTGGAAATGATAAAGTGCAGGATGGGGGTTGGGAGGGAGAGGGCTGACATTCATTCGTTCTGGAATCCAAAGTGAATCATTATTTGTCTTTCATTATGTAGATGCCCTGATCCCTAAAACAGCTTCTACACTTATAGGTAGTGACAAATATATTTATAACTCAGCATGATATTGAGCATTTTAGAGCTTTAAGACATAGTCATTATTAGAAACCTGATCAATATGGCTTATAAGGCTGTATTGTGCTAGTATAGTGCTATAGGAAAAGGGTTTTGTAATGCCCTACATAAAACTGTTTTAATTTTCCTCGGTAGCAGTTAGCCTCATTATTTGTATTCCTAAAGCTTGCAGTTTAGTTATAGCATGAGGAACATGCCATATATTTGTAAGCTCTTGAGCTCAGTAGAAAACTTGTATCTAAGGTGACCTTTTTGAGAAAATAAGAAAGAATGATTCTGCTCTTTTGATAGTTTCAAAGCTAACCACACAAAAATACAAAATAATTTGTCTCTGAAGAGCTTAGTCTAGTAGGACAGTTCATAAAGAAATGTGGATGTCCTTCTTTTACAGTAGGGTTATAGGGCTTAATATTGAGTGCATGTAAGTAACCAAATGAGATGAATTCTATTTCTCTCTTCCTCCTATCTCTCCCCTACCATTTAGGAACGTATCATTAACCATGCTGCAGGCAGCCATGGAGTCTCTGGGATATTTATGAAATACGATCTCAGTTCTCTTATGGTGACAGTTACTGAGGAGCATATGCCATTCTGGCAGTTTTTTGTAAGACTCTGTGGTATTGTTGGAGGAATCTTTTCGACAACAGGTTAACAACCATTTCTTTTTTGTCTAATAATTTCTAAAAGTGTTGCTTACATTTGAGATGCTTCTTCTTTAAGGGGCAAGAAATACATATTTTCATATTTTGATATTTAAGTAGCTTTTTCTTTAATATTTAATTACATAACTCCAAAATTATATTGACTAACCAGTAAGCATAACTAATTTCATTGTTTTCAGTGATGTAAGGTAGATTATATAATGGTGAGTTAGAGATCCTGGGTGTTAACGTCAGATTGAATTAGAATTGAATGCAAGTTCTGCCATTTACTTGATGGTATCCTGGAAGAGATCACTTACCTTTTTTGAGGTTTTCTAGTCAGTAAAAATAGCAATAATAATATCTAATTTGCAAGTGTGCTACAGGATTAAATATGAAAATGCCTAGAAGGCATTTAAGGTATTTTTAACTGTACAGTATGTAAAATCATGTGTTATAGTACTTTGAATTATACAGTACATGAAACTAGGTTTTTAATCAATAATGTGTTTATGATTTTATCCTGAGATCCTGGAATTCACTAAGATTATTTGTTTAATTGTAGTGATGAAAATTGGGAGTTAAGTATAATAAAAAAAAGAAGAAACAATTATTTCTTTACCTTCAGTCCCTATTCAGTATAAGATGGAGCTGGGTAGTTTATTATACTTAGAATCATATTTTTACATGAATGAATAGCTTTTCTTAGGGAATTCTTTGTTAGTGCTTCATTTAAATCTATTTAAATTTTTGTTGTTGATATTTATTTTCCAAAATTATATTGGTGTGTGAAAATCTTGAAAAGATTGTGTTCAGGCCAGATGCAGTGGCTCACGCCTGTAATCCCAACACTTTGGGAGGCCAAGGCTGGCAAATCAACTTGAGGCCAGGAGTTCCAGGTCAGCCTGGTCAACATGGTGAAACCCCATCTCTACTGAAAATATAAAATATTAGCCAGGTGTGGTGGCACACGCCTGTAATCCCAGCTACTTGGGAGGCTGAGGCACAAGAATGAGGCTGCTCGAGCTGGGAGGTGGAGGTTGCAGCAGTGAGCCAAGATTGCAACACTGCAGTCCAGCCTGGGCAACAGAGCAACTCTGTCTCAAAAAAAAAACAAAAAAACCCCACAAAAGATTGATTGTGCTCAGATCATGAATTATATGGCCTTGTGATTTTTTTTAAAAGAAATCCATTTGTTTTCATATCTCTCTTGATTATTTTTAACCATGGAAGTGAATAATGCAAACTGCTTTGTCTTCTTCCGTAATCTATTCCATTATATTTATTCTTAAATAGCAGTTTAGGAAATAATTTATTAAAAGCATAAACCTATTATTTATTACAGGCATGTTACATGGAATTGGAAAATTTATAGTTGAAATAATTTGCTGTCGTTTCAGACTTGGATCCTATAAACCTGTCAATTCTGTAAGTGGTATAGTATACACAGTGCTGATCAGTACATCTTAGTATCATTAAGTCTATGGGCCGGGCATGGTGGCTTACACCTGTAATTCCAGCACTTTGGGAGGCCAAGGAGGGAGGATCACTTGAGCCCAGGAGTTTGAGACCAGCCAAGGCAACATAGAGCCCCATTGCTACAAAAGGTAGAAAAAATTAGCTAGACAAGATGGTTCAAACCTGTAGTCCCAGCTACTTGGGAGGCTGAGGTGGGAGGATCACTTGAGCCCAGGAAGTTGAGGTTGCATTGAGCTGTGAACACACCACTGCACTCCAGCCTGGGTGACAGAGCCAGACCCTGCCTCAAAAAAACCCAGATACATAGATAGGTTGGTAGTAGCTTTTGGCAATTAGAAAAGATTGTCCAAAATACAACTTTGTGTTTAGAGGAAAGAATGTAAGAAATAAAACTAATTATTTGCTTTTTTCCCTCTCTTTCTCCTTAGGTTCCCTTTGAGGATGGCCACACAGACAACCACTTACCTCTTTTAGAAAATAATACACACTAACACCTCCCAAGTGAAGGAGAAAAACTTTTTGCCTGAGACATAAAACCTTTTTTTAATAATAAAATATTGTGCAATATATTCAAAGAAAAGAAAACACAAATGAGCAGGAAACATACTTATTTTAAAAAAGACAAAAAAAAAGGAAAAAAAGAACCCCAAACTGAAATTCTTATATTTGTTGTGTCTGTTACAAATGTCCTAGAAGAAATAATGCAGCTAAACAGTGAAGAAGCCCAATTGGAGTGTTGCTTTGAAGATGACGCCTTCGTAAATTTTCACACAAAATGGGCAGTACCGAAATCAGACTTGGATTCTTGGTGATAAAAAGCCTAAAGGAAATAAGTGAACCCACATCTATCTATGGAAAAAAAAAAAAACATTGAGAAGTGCAAATGTTTGCATCCTTTTGTTTTTAAAAGATACGATGTCAGAATAAAATGTGGAAAACATATGGAAATCTAGTCTAGACTTTAAAGAATTGTGATCAGGTCAAAATAAAAAACAGGGACTAGTCCCTATGTTATAGCCATATTAATGTTAAGCCATATTGACAAGACCATTTATCCAATAACTTGGTCTAAAAAAGTAACTGCTTTTCTTTGGACTCTGGTTATTGACTTTTTTAAGTGTTGAAGGCAGAGTCTTTGAAGATTAAGGTCAGTTCTTACAGGGGCAGGTATGTAGGTGTTATGTAACAGAGGTCATTCACAAATGATTTAGTAGTCTCTTACACAGGGAAAAGAAAGCACATTTTTTAAAAAGATGCCAAGTTTCCAAATCTAATCATTATATTATTGGTATATTTTGGGGGACATAGGATGAGTTATAAAAAGATCCACTACTGATAGTGAAAATTATCAGCTTGTAAAACATTAAGAGAAAAATAGAATATTTTATACATGTGGTAAGTGGGGAACAGGGTAACTTTTAAATGAAAGTGTAAGGCAAACTTTAAGCACAAGATATATCAGATCTGAGAGGTGCCATATTAATGTCCATTAAACTGTAAAACTGGATTATGAAAGAAGTATTTGCATTCAGAGTGTCCTGAATATGAATGATTCTGTGTTAGATTGTTTTCTAGCTTTCTTACCTATTTAAGGATTGGTTCTAAATATTCAGAATATAAAAGATTAAAAATAGAGGGAGCTATCATACAGGTACCATTAAAAGCTGTATTTGGAATATGTGTGCCAATATCAGTTTTCCTTTTGTAATACTGAATGATGGTAGAAGAATCATCAACCAGTCACCAAAGTTGAAATCATTTAGATAAATGGGAAAACAAAATTCAAGGTAAATAACAAGACTGAAAGACTAAGTTACAGTTTTTCAAATGGATTTATTTTAAAGACAAAGTTATAAAATCAGGATGAATAGGATAATGGAGAAAAGGAGAAATAGTGATGGGTCTGTTTTACAGTAAAATTTATGCAGAGTGACATTCTGCAGAAAATAAGCATCATTAAAAAAAATGATAATCATTAACAGCCATGAAGTTAACTGATGAAAGTAGATGATACACTTTGAAAGATTTTGAATCCAGAAAATTCTAAATAGTAAATGAACCTTCTCTAGGTCTTGATTTTTTTTTTTCTTCAGATTATTTCCAACAAAGTTGGGCTATAAACTAATGAAACATCTGTCAACAGGAAAGAATTAGAATTTTAGACCGACTGTCCTTTATGCTTGTGAGAAAATTCAATAGTTTTGGGTTTTTTCTAAATGGAAGGGAAAACAGTATTGATTTAGGATTACTTTAGAACAGTTAAGTATCTTTAAAAAGGATTTAAAAAATTATTTTGATACTTAGGATTTTTGTTTTCATATTTTCCAAATACCATATTAAAATTTTAATGAGATCTCCTATGAAAAGAATCTCTTTAAAGCAAAATTCTGCTTTGCCATTGATTTCCATTTTAAAGGTTGAAGGCTTCCATCTGAAACTCCTCAAATAGAGTCAGATTTTTGGCAATGGAAGTATTAAAATTCCGACCAGCTGTTTGGATGATGAAGTTTACCTGCATATTAGGATTTGTCAGGAGTTTTTGGCCTCACCAACTGTTTTCTATTGCAGAGTACTTTACTCACCCACCTGTTATGCAGCTTTCCCTCTGCGTGGAGGTACCTCCAGCCAGGATACCCTACTTTATTACCCAATTCTCCTTTTCATTTTACTAGAGTATTCGTAATATCTATATGTATGTACTCCAGACTACATATGTAAAAGTCTGAGACCTCAAAAAGTATATGAAATGGAATTTTTATAAGTTACAGTTCGCATACATTGGCCTATAAAGAAGAGTAAATATTTTGGTGAATAATTCCCTGCTGCAGTATTTGTACACTTCAGACTACCTCTTAGGAAAAGCTTAACTTAGTACTACAAAATTACCTTTATTTATTTTTTTTTTAGAAAGAAATGGGGCCTCTCGCTGTTGCCCAGGCTGTTCAGTGGTGCGATCATAACTCACTGCATCCTTGAACTCATGGGTTAAACCAATCCTCCTGCCTTAATCTGCTGAGTAGGTAGGACTACAGACATGCACCAACAAACCTGGCTAATTCTTTTTCATTTATATAGATAGAGTCCTTCTGTGTTGCCCAGGCCAGACTCCAACTCCTAGACTCAAGTAATCCTCCCACCTTAGGCTGCTGCATTGCTGGGATTATAGGCATGGGCCACACTGCACCTGACACTCAAATTACTTCTAGTTCTCAACTTAGATGATTAATATCACACTTTTCTCATACATTTTATGATAGCATTGAATTTTTATAATTAAAAGTTTACTAATGCAAACAGGATTTACAGTCTTTAATACAATCTTAATTTTGGAATTCATAAAGGATAACTAAGACCTCATTTTTTAACACTGTAAGGGAGATGCACTGTGCATTCTATGTCCAGAGTTAGTAATTCTAGTACCAAAAAGTAATTTAATATGAAACTCCTTCAAAATTCAGAGCTTACACTTGAATTCAAGATGCATATTTTTGATTGTTTAAAAGTTACTTAAACCTGAGCCTTCGGACCTTTAAAATCGCAGCATGTTTTTTAACCTAGTATGTCTCCCGTTTTGAACTCTAGCAAACCTTCAGCAAGCCAAGGTGGTAGCTCTTTTCAACACTATCAAACTAGGTCACCAGTCATTACTACCTTATAGTAAAATGTCTGATTCTATGCCCATGTATCCCCCATATTGTGATGCAATCAAAGCATAGTTTTTTTCCACTTTCTGGAATATTTTTTTACTGATGAAGTCACTTTGCATTTAAGAGTAGAAAGCAGACTGCCTTTTTTTTTTTTTTTGTCTTGAGAGGAAAGAGAACATAAAATATTTAGTGTTGCAAGCACAAACATTTGGACTCAATAAATGACAAATTATAAAGCATTTTTTTTGTCTTTCTAATCCCAGGAGAAAATCCAAATGTACCTCCAAATAAGCCTCAGTTTCCATATTTAAACTTTTTTTCTCATAGGAAAACTACAGGAATTTTAAAATATCACTTTGTTACATTTGCTTTTCTTCCATATGGCACTAAATTGCTATATGATACAGGGTTTATTTTATATTTCTCATATTAAAGATGAAAATGATGAAAATTGAATAGTAAAAATTACATGTATAAACCTGTGAACACGTAATTTCAAGCAGTGAAACATTTAATTAGTTTTGGCAGGTCCAAATATTTTGTGTTTCACAAAAGGAGTTAGGTTAATTCTTCCAAATATAACTCTTTTATACTATTTTAATAATCTTAAGGAAAACCATTAAGGATGAGAAAGCATGGGGAGAAGTATGCATTAATGAAAGCTACATACTAAAGCAGAACTTCAGCAACAGCTCATAACTAATAAATGCTTTGTATTTTGTTTTTAAGCAGTTATGCAAATCAATTTGATGACTTCTTGTACTGTAGTTTACTCTCTGTAAGGTATTTTTCTGGAATTGACCCAAATCGCCATATCACATCTCCTGTCCTTTTTGCAGTTCCAGTATTTCAAATAAAGTAGGGACACGTCTAATTTGTGGCTACTTAAGTATCTTTGCCACAGTAGTATCTCCCTTTGCAGGGCACTACTGCCTCTCAAACCAGTTACATCTGAAAACCAGCAATTGCTTGTCCTTTTAAAAAAATAGTTTTTAAGTGATCTAGGCAGTGAGCATTTATGAGAATCATTACTTCTTATAGGCAGTTGCTTATGTTCCCAGACTTCATTAGAATAGCAGTTGCTTATGTTCCCCAGACAATATTATCAGAATCTAGAAAAGCAGTCGTGGAAATTTACAAGTGACTTGTGAACTTTGAAAATTATTGATGTTTTTGGAAACTAGGCTGATCTTTAATTATTTATGTTTATTTTAAAATAGCACGCTATTTGGGCATTATTAAACCAGTCTTTTCCTTGAGATATTAAGTTAATTAAATGAGGTGTTAAATGGAAGTAATGACGTTAGTTGAAAACTGCAAGTGTTTTTCTGAATTGTGTGCCCATTTGCCTCAACTTTTTCTAGTAATAGTTGCCTCAGGCAATGATTCTTCAACTGTAATATTTGATACTGTATCAGGTATCTTGTGGGTGCAAAATATAGGGATTGCCAAAACTTTTGAAGCATACGTACCTTTTCTTTGTACTTTCCATCCTCTTTTTCCCCAAAATAGAAGGTTCTTTCCCATTGCTTTGTTTATATTAGGCATTCAAAGAATTGCGAATTCGTCTTGATGTGAAATTTACTACCTCATAGTAAATGTTAGAGATTGTCTTTCATACAGATACCTGCTTTTCCTGCCTAATTATCTCAAGAGAACTTTGTGTCATTTCTTTGATGCCACAAATAGAATACTCATGTCACAATAACCTTATTAATGGTGTTAGAAAAAGAAGTATTATGTACCTGTATGTTAATTTATATTCATCTGATAGTTATTCCTGTGATGAGATTTGATGGAAAGAGTTATTTGGAAGTGATTTCCTTTTTCCAGGGTGTGGTGCAGGGGGTGTAAAGGAGAGAGAAGTGCTGCAGTAGTCAGCAGTTAAAGACACAACACTAGAAGAGGGGAAGAATTTTAATTCAAAATTTTATTTAATCAAAAGTCAAAATGTGAATACTTGATTTGTGGAGTTATTGAATTGGTGAAACATACAATCAAAAGTGAATTCTTAGAACTATATGTTTTAATCCAATTCCACTGAGCTGTATCTTGATGTCATATTTTTGCCATATCTATAGTTCATATCTTAATTGATATAACTTGAAAGTATCATAGACATCTCACACTAAGGATCACCAGGTGCTTAGTTTCAGAGCCAGGTTATCTGCTATGAAAAGTAGTTCCCAGAATTTAAATGAAATTGGGAAACATATTGCCCAGAAGAGTTCCTCCAAAATGCCCTTTATATGGACCTCAGGAGAATCTCAAGTAATACTGGGCTAGATACTGACC